TCTTTTTTTTTTTTTTTGGTACTGGGTATCCAACACTGTTTCTTGAGCTTGCGAGGCAGGCAGCAGAACCACTGAGCTAAATCCCCAGCCCACATTAGCCACTCTTAACTGGCATGTTACAGAGGGCACAGTTCAGCAGCCCAAATGGCTGGACTTTGCAAGTGGAGATTCTGCCCCTTTCCCATTGATCCTTCAGACACTGCTGCTGCTTCCTCAGCCAAAACCTCAGTTCCTCCAGATCTGCCTCCTGCTTCCCCAAGTCCTAATGGAGTCAGAGGAGGCCAGCAGTCAGAGGTCGCAATCTTTGCCCCTAGACCTAAAGCAGTTCTGTCCTTGAGTTTACCTTGTTCTCTTCAGAAACTGTTGAGGCTCTTGGCACTGTCATTTTCACACATCTCCTGTCCGTCAACCTTCCACACTGGCCACTGGGCTCTTCTGGGTGAAGGTATGTACTGACACTCCTACACCGATGTCTGACATTCTTATTTAGGGCAGATTTACTGCTTTCTGGGGTTATTTATCTTCTCATTGTACCTGGTAAGAAGAGAATTTACTTTCACACATTCCGTCCTCCTGGGTTGTACATTCCAGTAAGAAACACCATCAAGGTATTCATTTATCATTTATTTCAGCCTTTACCAGATGTCACTTTTTATCCTTTCACAACAGGATCTCCACCTCCCTTGAAGCAATGTCATTATTCCTGGGGACTCATTAGTAGGTCCAGGCAACCCACTGCTCTAGCAAGCCCTATATCCCAGCATTTGTCTGTCCTCTGAGAATCTCTTCACCTCAAGGCCTTTCATTCATACAGAAGACTGAGTCAAGACACTTTAACCTTCGTATAATTTTTCTTCCTCCATTTCCATATTAATACTAAAAGCCAGTATCTTTTTTAAAAAGCAAGGGCCAGGGATTTAGCTGACTGGTGCTGCTACCTGCCTCTCAAGCACGAGGTCCCAAGTTTGATCCCCAGTAACAAAAAATAAAATAAATAAAAATATAAAATTTTAAAAAGCTAGCATTTTGATATTTGTTGAGAGACACTCATTAGAACCATTCTAAATTGCTTTAAACTAAGATAAAGTGAGCATCTTTACTGAGGTATTACCGTAGCCTGAGGTGCTCAATGACAGGCAGTCATGGATCCTGTATCCTCCTGTAAAAGTCTGTCAGGACAAAATCTGTCAGCATTTTATATCATTTTATATAATTGTTAATTAGCCATATTAAAATGGAATTGTATCCCTATTTTAACCTTTATTTTAATTTTTATTATTTTTATTTTTTTGATAGGGTCTCCCTCTGTTTCCAGGCAGGCCTTGAACTCCTGAGGGATCTCCTGCCTCGGCTTCCCAAACCCTGGGTTTACAGGCATGTGTCACTACACCAGCCTTATTTCTTATTTGTTTTTGCAGTACTGGCGATTGAACCCAGGACTTTTGCACTGAGCTACATCCCCACCCCTTTTTTATTTTTTGTTTTGAGACGGGTTCTCACTCTGTAGCTAATTTGCCCAGACTGTGTGGCTTGACTTGCAATCCTATCCTTCTGCCTCCTGCCTCAGCCTCCTGGAGTGATTTTTTTTTTTTTTTGTACCGGGGAACTCTGGTCCTTGCATTTCCAAGGCAGGCGGCAGAACCACTGAGCTAAAACCCCCGGCCCCTCCTATAGTGATTTTTGGTTTTTTTGAGACAGGTTCTCACTATGTAGTTGAGACTGACCTGGAACTCACTATACTATATAGCCCAGGCTGGTCTCAAACTCACAGCAATTGTCCTGCCTCAGCCTCCTGAGTATTAGGATTACAGGTGTGCACCACTATGCTCGGCTATCCTATAGTGATTTTAACTTTTAAGTGAACAGTTCCGTGGTGTTAGGTATATTCACAGTGATAAGTAATCATTACTACAATGTTTTTCCGGACTTTTTTTTCATCTCAAACAGAAACTCGATACCTCTTACATGAGAACTTAGTAACTTCCTTTTCCCTTTTTTTGACTCTTTAACTTCTATTTCACTTTCTGTTTCTATGAATTTGCCTATTCTAGTTACTTCCTATAATTGGAATCATACAATATTTGTCCTTGTGCAACTAGTATGTTTTCAAGATTTATCTGTTTTGTTTTTGTTGTTGTTATTGTTGTTTTAACCCCCTTAAGTTTATTAGTACATTTAAAGCAAATAATACAGCTACATTTATCATTGGGATCTTGTACCTTTACATGCTGTCTTGGTAAGATTTATCTATGTTGTAGCATTTATCAAAATTTCATTCTTTTTACAGCTGAATAATATTCCTGTGTGTGTGTGTATGTAACATTTTATTCATCCATTTATTGATTGATAGATGCGTAAGTTGTTTCCATCTTTGGAGTAATGTATTCTGGAGGAATGTATTCTCTTGTGAATAATGCTGTTATGAGCACGATTTTACAAATGTTCAAGTCCCTTTTGATTCTTTTGGGTATATACCCCCAGAAAAGAAATTCCTAGGTCCATATAGTAACTTCATGTTTAGTTTTTTGAGAACTTGCCATACTGTTTCACTCATTTTACATTCCCATTAGCAGGGCACAAGGATTCTCCTATATCCTTGTAAATATTTTCTGGTTTCCATTTTTTGAGTGATAGCCATCTTGATGTATGTGAAGTAGTATTTCATAGTGCTTTTGACTTGCCTTTCCTGATGATTAGTGATGTTGTGGGTCTCCTAATTTTTTTTTTTTTTTTTTGGCCATGTGTCTATCTTTTTAGGAGAAATGTCTACTCAAACATTTTGCGTTTTAACATATTCATGCTGGGCCTTGATTTGTACATCTTGTTACTGGGTACCTCTGGTTTGAATTGTAATCTCCTCACC